AAAGAGTAAGATAACTGTAGGAGGACCTAGCTTGCATTGACAACATTTGCACTGCATTATGAATTATGTTTTTTTCATAGAGTAGGTTCTTAAAGTTGCAATGAAACGAAAGTAATGTCAGAAAATTTCTGAATGAAATGGATTATTGAAAAAGAAATCTTGGAGATCTTGGTTTTATCCACTGGTTCTTGATTGAATGAAGGCAGATCAGATGCGAGCTTAGTCTGTTTGTTAGAAAGGCGTATTTAAGTGGACAAAATTATGACATAAGTCACCAGGCAAAAGTCTGTCATTTCAGAATATCAAGTTATGTCATTTGGATTAAAAGTGACAAGGTCTACAAAAAAATTAAAATATAAAATAAAATAAACATATATATATATATATATATATATATAAAAAAAAAATCATATTCTAATTCAGTTATTGTTTGTGTTATTTCAAGTAACAGAAATGTTTTTTTTTAATGATTTTAGTTTTATTTAATAATAACCCTGCTTCTTAACAAGTGTATTTGTTTTGTTTTGCAGTAAAAATAAGTAAACAAAAAAGTAAAAAAAAAAAAAGTCCTAGAAAGATGAAAGGATGCACAAAAGAACAGATTGTTCTGTCGTTTAGAAGCAGGTTTATATGAAATAGTGGATGATAATAATTATATTGATTATAGATGAATGTGGAAAGGTAACTGTGTCTTTGTGATCAGAATTGTTGAAATCTAGTCCAGATGATTCACAGACAGAACTACTGTAAATATACAGATCCAGTTTACATGCTGCTAATCGCCTTTGACTGAACTCTTTTAATGAGCTGCGGCTGCTAAACACATCCAGATGATTGCACTCAGAGCTGCTGGGGTTCAGATACAAAAGTCTGGAATTATAGGATTTTAATGTTTTTCAAAGAGTCTCTTCTGCTCAGCAAGGCTGCATTTATTTGTTTAAAAATACAGTAAAAATTGTGAAATATTATTATAATTTAAAATAGATGTGTTCTATGTGAATATCTGTTAAGCTGTAATGTATTTCTGTGATGCGCAGCTGTATTTTCAGCATCATTACTCCAGTCTTCAGTGTCACATGATCTTCAGAAATCATTCTAATATTCTGATTTGCTGCTCAAGAAACATTTCTGATTATTATCAATGTTGAAAACAGTTGTGCTGCACAATATTTGCGTGGAAACCATGAAACCTGACCATTCAAATGTTTGGTGTAGGTAGGATTAAAAAATAATAGGTTTTATTAGTCATGGATGCATTAAATTGATCAAAAGCGCCAGTAAAGACATTATAATGTTACAAAAGATTTCTATTTCAAACAAATGCTGAACTTTCTATTCATCTGTGAATCCTGAAAAATAAAATGTATCAGTTTCCACAAAAATATTAATGTTTTCAACATTGATAATAATCAGA